ATGTCTGCGCCCAGGATCCGAACCAGCGAAACCCTGGTCCACCGAAGTGGAGTGCATGAACTTAACCACTTGGCCACGGGGTCAGCCCCTGTTGCTGTTTTTTAAAGGGGCTTCTGGAAAGGGTCTGCATGCCCATCTGGTTCTGTTCATTCTCTCACTGAGGATGTAACTGGATGCACATGACACCAGTTCAACTAGTTAAAAAGGGAAGCACTCAGGTCAGTTTCCTTGCAGGGAGCAATGGGGAAGGTACAGAATCTAAGACGTGCCCAAACCTAGCCTGTGATAGACACCAACTCTCACAGGCCTCTCCACACCATTTCCTGGCATTTCTACAGGGACGGGGCAAGGAAGAGCCAGCATTTATTGACGTTCTTTTATGGATGAACCATCTACAGGTGGGGAAACTGAGACTCAGCGAGGGGATGTGACTTGTGTGGGGCCACACAGCCAAACAGATGAGTTTGGGCACCGTGTGCCTTGCTGGCTCAAGGCCTCTGCCATTTCCAACGTGCCGCTCTGCCGGCCAGAGGCCAGAACTAGGCAGATGGGAGCCACGTGTGGTAGCTCTCTGGGCAGGCAGCCTTCATGTTGGGACCAGGATTCCAGAGTCTTTTAACCTCTCTGACAAATGAACCTCATTTATTATAAAGAGGTCACTATGGGCATCACTGAGATAGTACATACAGAGCATCCCACCCAGAGCCCAGCACACAGTAGGTTCTCAGAAAGTGGCTCAGGGTGCTGACTCTGCCCTGTTGTGGGCTCTTGAAGACAGATGCCCACTTCAGCTCAAGGCATCCTTTGGCCCTCTGGCCTGGCTCATGACCCACTCCAGCTTGAGGACCTCCCGGGGCTCCTCCCTACCCTGGGGATAAATTCCTGACTCCTTGACTGGACATTTGAGTTCCACTAGTCAGTAGGCAAGGCACAGTCAGGGAACCGTCTGCCTTATTCACTACTGGATCTCAATACAAGTTTGCTGCACAGAGGCCTCAACCTCCAGCCTCCTCTTCTTAAACTCACCCTTGCCTGCTGAACCATGTGAGTAACAGTTGTGGACGTGTGTCCTGTGCTTTCCGTCCTCTCTGCCTTTGCTTGCTCAGCAGCTTCCATCCTCCCTGCCCCGCCTCTTCCTGAACCCTAGCAGAGCATCGTCTCCTTGAGCGGCTGAGCCTTGGCCCGTGCACGTGGCTGCTGGCGGTGCTATGCTGGCTGACCCCTGTCCTACCCATCACCATAAAGTAGTGCCAGACAGGCTGGGCCCCAGCAGGCCCTTTGTTCCCTGTGGGAAATGATATCTGAGAACTTCTCCCCAGGTCAAAGGGCAGCCTGATTTCTACAGGCGATCCAGCTGTCCTTGTCACTTGAGGGCCTCTGACCCACTCTATCACGCCTGACAAATCCTGTTGTCCTCTGGCTGTCTGAATGTGTGTGTGTGTTGGGGTCGGGGAGACTATCTTCCTACACAATTGTGAGCCCCCTGAGGCAGGCCTTGGGGGCCCTAAGGAGGTGTCAGCTAGGAGATGCTAAATTAATAACTGAACCCTCATTTGTGCAGCTCCGGGCACACTGCCTTGATTGGGAAGGCCAACTGCTGTAACAAACACCCCTGATCTCCGTGGCTCAACATGATAAAAGGACGTTTTTTGCTCAAAGTCCAGTGTGGCTGTTCCTACTTGATAACTCTCTTGGGCAGTCCTGATCAAGGCTCTCTACCCCCATCTTGTGCTGCTCATGTCTTCACCCTAGGCCTCCAAGGTTCCTGGGAAAGAGGAGAATTCTCTTCCCTCTGACCCCTCAAGTCTCTGCCCATCCCACATCCCGGCACCCTCAAGTCTAATGGCCACCTGTACTCCATCCCAACCAGGCCAGAGTGTCACGGCCATCAATCCCACCTCCGACCTTTGCTTAAACTGTTGCCCCACCCATCTGGGGACCCTCTATGGCCAGCACAGCCTCTGTCCTCCAGGCGAGCCACCTGGTGCCTCAGTACACAGCACTGGTGTAGCCCGGTCTAATCGCTGAGGGCTGTGGCCATGGCACTGAGCTGCCAAGCTGGCCCCCAACAATCTCACCTCCTGATGTCCACACCCTTGTATGGAGTGTGACCTAGACTTGGTGACTCACATCTGATCAATAGAGTAAGGCAGAATCCGTGACGTGTGACTCGGAGGCTAGATCAGACAGGGCAGTGTGGCCTCTCTCTCTCTACTCGCTTGCTCTGGAAGGAGCCGTGTCATTGGCAGCCCTATGGAGAGGCCCACGTAGTGAGGGACGGAAGCCTCCTGCCAACAGCCACATGGCTGAGCTTGGGAGGGGATCGCCCCCCCCACCGCCACCCTCAAGTCTTCCAGGACTGCAGCCCTAGCCAACAGCTGGGCTGCAGCCTCGTGAGAAGCCTGAGCCAGAACCCCTCTGCAAAGACACTTGCAGACTCCTGACCCTCCAAAACGGCGAGACAATAAATGTTTGTTAAAAGCAACAGGTTTTGGGGGATTTGTTATATATACAGCAATAGAGAACTAGTTCAGTCACCTCCAGAGGCAAAGTCTGGGTCTTCTCCCCTCATCCCTGCCCCAGGCCTAGTGTGTGCTGGACTAAAGGAGGCATGTGAGAGTTCATTTATGCAACCAGGCCGCGTTTGCTGGGGCTGCAGAGGTGCACCAGGCCCTGCGCTGGTGCTGGGATGGGGCTTAGGGCGACAAGGATGGAGTCTTGGCCCTCGGGGGCTTCCTAGTCCACTGGGAGACAGAAGAGTCACTCACCCCTTAATGACCATGGCCCTTTCACCCCAAAAACTAATCCGAAAGAGGGGTAACTAACTCTGATTCAGGGCAGTGGGGTGGGAGAGCGGAGTGTGAGGGTGGGTGAGGTGTGCTGAGGTTTGACAAAGGAGGTGACCTTTGCGGGTCGGTGACGTTGACTAGGTCGAGGAGGAAGAGCATTTTGGGGAAGGGGAACAGCGTGCCTCGGAACACAGCAGATGCAAGAGCAGCATGTGGTCAGCAATCAGTGAAGGATGTACAGGGGATAGGATGCAGGGGAGAAGGTCTGGGAGGTGAGGCTGGGGAGGTCGCGGGGGCAGATGAGAAAGGGCCTCGAATGCCAGGCTGAGGAGGAGTTTAGAAATCATCCTGAGGCCTCGGAGATCGTTTTAGGGAGCTGGGTTTTGCTCGAGAGTGAGGATGCAGGTTCCGTGTGCGGGTTGCTGGAGGGAGGGCACTGGAGAAGGGGGCATCAGTGCGTGGCTTCGCAACTGCCAGGGTGCTGAGTGCTGTGACAGAGGGAGGGCAAGTCTGGGGAACCCAGTGGGAGCCCCTCTCTCAACTCAGGCGTCAGGGGAGGCTTCCTGTAATAGGGGAAACCAGGCTCGAAGAAGGAGTAAGAACGACCCAGACAAAGAGATGGGGTCGGGGAAATGCCATTCCAGGCAGAGGGAGCAGCATGGGCAAAAGCCCAGAGGTGAGAGAGCATGGCTGATACAAGGAACTGCAAGTGGGTCAGTATAACGCGAGGAGGAGGGATGAGGATGGAGAAAACTGGGCCAGATGGTGGAGAGTGGCGAAGGGCAGGCAAAGAAGCTTGGGCTTTGAGGTAGGCATCTTCTGTCTTCCGTTGACCCCCCCAGATCCACTCTCCACCCATCTCCCCCCTGCTCTTCCTGGGAGACCCACCTGTGTGGCCTGCACCCACAGGCCCTTGTGCCCTCTAGCTTCCAATTGGGTTCAGGCAATAAGGAGCCTTGGCAGGAGAGGGAGGGAGGAGAGTGAGGGGGGAATGCTCATTCCTGGCCCCCTCCCTGCAGCGTCACCCGGCCCTGCCTGTGCTCCTTGGCCAACCACGGCCCCTGCACATGACTCTCCCCTGGTTCAGGTGGCTGCTGCCTCCACTTGTCCTTCCAGGCCTCAGGGTGGTAGCTGTACTTTGCGGCTGCCACAGCCCTGGGTTCCTGCACCGTCCTGTGTGGCACACCCTGCACACGCCGCAGAAGATTGTTCTTTTCTTAAACCCTCCTCATATTATCCTAGTTTAATATGCCGTCTAGTCCCTGTGGGATCCAGGCTGATACAAGCTCCAGGAGCAATGGCGAGCCAGAGAAGGATTGTGAGTGGGGGACAGGGTTTGTGTTTTGGGCAGCTCACTGTGGCTGTGCACGGAGGATGGACTGGGGAGAGCGAGGTGGGGATGGCCGCGATGCAGAAGCTATGGGGTAAACTACGGCCTTTATCGCTGTCATGCAGGGAATTCCAGGCTGTGTGGGAGGGTGCGGCTTGGCTGCAGGCTTTCCTTTATAACGTTTTGTTGGCTTGTTTGCAAAGATGACCACGAGAATCCCTGCACGTGGCCCCAGCCTTTTGTATCATGATGCTGCCACTCCGCCCATGCAGAGGGGGAGTCCACTGCTCACCCCTGAGTCTGGCCGGGCCTCGTGACTTGCTTTGAACAACAGAATGCAGCGAAGTGACCCTGTGCAAGTTGTGCAGCCTAAGACTTAAGAGACCTTGCAGCCTTGCTCTCACAGTTCTCAAAATGCCCCCATGTGGTGGTTATTGGCGTGATCTGGTCCTAGAGGGAAAAGAGCCTGCCCCCGTGGAGGGCAAGGGGGATTCACAAGTACGGTCCTACCCAGCCATGCGGTCCCCTTGCTACTGATGCAGGTCCCAAACCCAGGAACCCAGAATTCTCGCCAGAGCCTCTGTCTCCGTCTCGCCCACCCTGCAGACACACACACAGACGTACACTCCCCACATCTGGGCTTCCTTCTCTGGGCCGGTCTGCCTTCTGCCTTTACGAGTCCTTTCCCCTTCTTTCCCAACAGGACAGGGTCGGACGTGGTCAGCTTGAGGTGGACAGATCGGGAAGGAAGGGGCAACACGGTATCCCTGGCCCAATCTGATCCACCTTCTCAAAAGGTGAGACAGGGCCAGGCTGGGGTCAAAGGTGAGGCCTCGACCAGCCCTCTTGGCCGGGGGGTGGGGAGGAAGAGAAGGCTAAAGTAGAATCCTTTCATTTATTGAACTGACATTTATGGAGCCCCCTTTCTGTGCCAGGGTCAGGGGCTGAAGTTACAAATGACGAGTAAGAGGTGCCCTCCTGAGCTCTCGGCCTGAGATGTCAGAGCCGAGACTCAGAGGTCATCTTTGTTGGGGAAACTGAGCTGCAGAGGGAGGGCCAAGAGGCCCCGCTCACGGTCCTACAGCCAGTGACAGAGTGCATTTCCGCTTCCCCACCTTCCAGGCCCCTCTGGCTGCCACTCCAGAGCCCAGAGGACCCAGAAACTCAAAGCTGCCTAGGGTGACTACAGGGCCTCCGTGGCCGCGCCCTCCTCTCCAGCTCAGGCAGGGAGGAGCTGGGTCTCCAGGGCGCACGATGAGGGCACTTGTAGGAGAAAGGGCTGGAGCTGCTGGCTGCTCCCATGCTGTCACTCAAGGTAGAGGAAGAAAAATCTGGTAATTGGTTGCTGCTCTTTTTTTCCTGCCCATTGAGTGCCATTACAACAGAGGACAGAGACCTCAGAAACCATTCTCTTGCAGCCCTCTCTCCCATTTCACAGATGAGCAGACCGAGGAGACAGGCCCTGTCAGAGGTTTCCCAGCAGGGCTGCAAGGCGCCGGCGCTGGAGTCTGGTCTCCTCGGCCACGTTGCCAGCCGTGACTTGGGGCCTGGCATGCGTTGGCTTTGCAGGAGTCTGGGAAGGACTGGAGATATGCTCAACAGACACCTCCAGGAAGCCTTCTCAGATCACGGCACTGCCCACGGGGCTCCCTAACGCCAGCCTGTCCTCTGGGGAGGCGCTCAGCAGAAATCCAAGTGTTGGTCGATGGGGACGTTGTACTTGAGCTTGTGGGCTTCGAAGAGGTCGCATAGTTCCTTGATGTAGCGCTGGTGCAGCTGGTCCACCTCCTCCTGCGAGAGGGGTTCAGGGTCTTCTGCACTGCAATGGGCTTCCCCACTGCAAGACCCAAAGGTGGGCGGTGGCTGCGAGCAGGAACCACCAGGGTCGCAGGGGCCCTTGGAGCAGGTGCCCACCCTCGGGGTCAGTCCTGCAGGAAAGTGCTCTTACTGCCATCCCTTTTGACACGAGTTCAAGTGATGGATTCTAAGATGTTAGAGCAACTCCAAGATTCTGATAGAACAACAATGGCGCACCAGGCAACGTGCTAAGTGCCTTACGTGCATTGTCTCCTTCAGTCCTCATAATGATCCTACGGGGACAGAACCTGTTATCATTCCCATCTGACAGGTGAGGCAGTGAGGCTCAGAGACGTTAAGTAACTGTTCGAGGTCACACGGCCAGGAAGAATCCGTGCCAGGCTTTAGACCCTGGGGGTGTGCTCTTAATCTCTGGCCATATGGTTCTAGGAGCCTATGATGCCTAAAAGTGAATAAAAGTGTCTGTATTTCCATGATGAGGTGGGCCCACAACCCAGGCGGCTCTTCCCCCTCCCTCCATGATAGCCTGCACTGCCCCCCTCATTCGAGGGAGGAGTCAGGGAGGCCCTGACTAACCTCTTTCCTCTGATTCTGCCTGGCTGTGAAGACAGCTCCCCTGCCTTCTCCTCTTGGGAACAGCTCTGGAGGCAGCAGCAGTATTAACGTTCATAAAAACATTGCCACACAACACAGGGAAAGTCTGTGCTCAACTGACAAATAAGTGAGTGGATGGAGATGACTGGACCTCTCTCTATAGGCTTTGTCAGAGGAACCGAGTCAGAATCCAAGAAGAAAGCAATGAGCGATCCAAATAACTGAAAAAGTTGGTGCTCAGTCCATGCAGTAAAGCTCAGGCCCATTATTTACAGGAAAATCCCTCAGGCTCTAATTCATAGCCTCTTGATCGCCACTTTACACACAAGTCTAACAGACTTGGAACGCCCTTCCCTCGGATCCACCTTCTTCAAAAGCCTTAGTAGAACCTCTGGGTCAGAATTAAACCCTCCTTCTGCCTTCATAATTATTAAACCCTCCATAATAAAAAGTCAACTAGATCCTGATTCAAATCCCAACTTTGTTACTCAAAGGCAGCAGCAGCTTTTGGAAGTTACTTAACTTCTCTGAGCCTCAGTTTGCCATCAGTGAAATAGGGCGTGTAGTCCCTGCCTTGAAGGTTGTCAGGATCAACTGAGCTGCTGCATGTAAGGGAGCCAGTGCTGTGCCTGGCACACAGCAGGGGCTCAGTAAGCAGTGACCATGGTTCTTTGTGCCTCTGTTACAGTTCTCATCCCAGACTGCCTTGTACTGGGGCTGTCTGCTTGTGTGCCTGTTTCCCAGTCTAGAATGTGAGCTCCATGAGGGCCCATCTCCATGTCCCCTGCAGCACACAGCCCAGGCCCCTTTCCCTGTAGCCTACGCCCTCCCAGCCTGGGTCTTGGCTCACCTACGGTGGTGATGGGCTGGCGGTAGGGAATAAAACCGAAGCTGTACTGGAAGATGCCACGGCTGTGGAAGAGTGGGAAGGAGAAACTCGTCGTCTTCTGCAGCTTGTCCTGGATCCAGCGCAACCAGGAGCCGGGTGAGTTCTCAACCTGGTCAAATAGGTCATTCTCCCCAAAGGAGAACATCGGCACCAGAGCAGCCCTCGAGGAAGGCAAGAGAGAGGGTGTGTGGGAGGCCCCTAGGAAGGCCCAAACTCGCCACCTAGCTTCCCTGCTAGCTTCTAGCAGGGACCCAGTGACCAGGAACTGGAGCAGAGGACAGAGCCCTAGGCCAGAAGTAGGAGGCCTGAGTGCTCTCCCAGACCTGTCACCGCCTTGCTCTCTGACCTCGGGCAGGTCCTGGCCGCCCTCAGGCCCACACCTCCCAGTTGCAGCATGACAGGTAGAGCAGAATGGTTCAGAATCCTCTCGGATATAAAACATCTGCAAACCTTGAAAAATCTCGCCTGCCCCAGCTGGCTTATATTCTGCAAAGATGCTTCAAGGTGGGATAACAGCTCTGCGATACGCCCCAAACTCTGTTCTCCTAGCTCCCGTAGGTCTCAGATCGAGTACCGGCTTTGAGCAATACATCCGTCCCCACCTAGTCCCTTTGATCTCCTAGTGTCCCTTCTGGAATCTTTCCTGGGTATTTGGGCATGAGACAATACATCTCTCATCAAAATACAGTCTTCATTGTGAATGGACTGAGAATCTCCCTACCAAAATAGAATCCACGTTAATCTCTGCTGTCCTCCCACCAAAATATAATCCTGCCAATCTGCAGCTGAACCGGGAGCACCCTTCCCAGATACCCGTGCAGCAGGGCGAGCTTGATGAAGCCCTTGCGCTTCCGCAGCAATAGGGTGTAGGCTCCAGGCCTGGCATTCAGTGCCTCCTGGGCGCCTCCTATAATGATAGCCGCCGGGTTGCCACCGCCCTTCCGGTTCAGAATATGAGCAATGCTCTCCTTGTCCGATGTGACCAGCCCTGGGGAGAGAGGAAGGTGGTCAGGTATGCGGTGAGGGGCAGGGGTCGTGGGGATGCTTGTGGCCCAAGGAAGAGATCACCAGTGGTGCCCACAGAGGCCTGGGTCCCATACCCCACCCACTCCAGCTGGGACTTCTCTGGGTACTGGAACTGAGTCCTCTCCCTCTTCCTCGCCTCCTCACCGAGCTCACTGGCCCAGCACAGTGCTGTGGGAAGTGCTTCCTTGGGTCTAGCCTCCTTCTCTTGCTGCACATGCTCTTACAAGAAGTACACAACAGTCCTCCTCCCCAAAACCCCACTCCCGTGCCTCCAGCCCCATTTTCCTGGGCTACCCAGGGCTGGGAAGACTCACCCCCCATCATGAGGTACTCCCTGAAGAAGGGGACCCGGAACCAAAAGGGCAGCATAATCAGATGAGGGCGGATGCCGGGGAAGAGCGAAGAGAAGCCGGTGCTCTCCGTGCACAGGTTGACAAAGGCTCCAGGGGCCATGATCCCTTGGGGGTGGAAGCCAGCAAGGTAGTTCCGGGAGGGGTCCAGCTCAGCGGTCTTGACCAGCTGCAAGGACAGCAACCTGGTGAGCCAGGGTTGCACCTGCATGCCCACCCTGATTCTGCCACTCGCTTATGTGACCTGGGGCGGGTTGCTCCCTGTCTCTGAGTTCAGGCTCTTAGGAAGATTGAGATGTGGTGTGTGAATGCACCCCGCGACACCGAAGTGCCCGCTGGGCTTCAGACTCGCTGCTGGCTTCCGACAGACTGCTCCCCTCTCAGGCTCTTCACCCGTGAAATGGCCACACTGGCCCCGTCCCGCCGACCCCCCAGGACTGCCAGGAAGCTCCTGTCTGAGCGTGCCCTGGAATCCCCAAGGCTACAGCGTGACAGGGTAAAATTTGAAGGCACCAAAGAGCCACACGGGGGCAGCACCGTGCTGGAAGAGCCGCATTTTAACAAAACTCCGTATGAGAAAAATTGACTCTTAGGACCTGGGAGTGAGCGCGAGGTCTATCAGGGGCCGCTTCCTGTGAGGTTGAAGAGCTGCAGACCAGGAGGCCGCCTCTAGTCCTGCTGACCCCTTGCACAACGCAGGGGTCTCACTGTGGCTCTCTACTGCCCCCCTGCCAGGCTTTCACGGCTCACTCTTGCCCCAGCCTGGGGCAGCTCGGCTGGCACAGAGACTTGCCCGGGTCTGGTCAGGCCTGCAGCCCAGAGGGTATAGTAGGGGCCACCAGACACTGCAGATTGAGTGGGAGAGGAGAACCGTTTGTCGTTAGTGTTTTCTAGGTGAAGTGGGGTGAGGATGGAGGGGGCAGGAACTGAGTTAACAAATGCTGTTCCCGGCTGGTTACTGGACAGGCTGCAATGTAGCCTAGTCTGTGAAGATCATTGCTGTGGGCAGTGACTCTGCGTGCGTGTGTGTGTCTAGGGGGGACCAATCCCTTCCCACCTTGCCGGGAACCACAGGGCACCCCCTTTACAGTGCTCTGCCCTCTGGGAGCCACAGCCATCAGAGTTTGAAGCCCCGGGTGACTCTGGACCAAGTCCCAAGCCCCTGCCAGGAGGCTCCCTCACAGGACTGCCCTATAATTCGCACCCAGAGCCTGGGGCAGCCCTTTCATCGTGGTTCAGCTTTGCCAGGGTGTAAGTTCATCCTGTCATCGAGCTGCAGCTTTCAGTGGGTGACTCCTCAAGGACTCCTGTTGCTGTTTTGGGGGCCACAGAGGCCTGGCTGCCTGCCTCCGAGCCGCCTCGAGGGACCTGGGGGACAGCAGTGGGTCTCTGAGCCTGTCTGTGCTGTCCAGGCTGAGCCACCCCAGAGTATCCTGTCCTTGACTTCGACTTGGTCTCTGCGAACCCCCACCCCCAGCATGCCCTCCTGGTTACCCACTGACCCTTTGCAGAGAGGCTGCGGGGACCGCAGGTGGAAGGACCATTCCCACCCAATGACAAACCTCTTCTACTCAGGCAGAGGGGGACTGGCTGATGTGAGAAAAACACACAGAGCAGAGAAACCTCAGATCATTCTCACTGGGAAAGGGGCTTCCTCGGGAACCCATCCAGTGGTGTTTCTTTAAAAACATACCTGGCTCCCAGCTCTGAAGCCCTCGCTTATGAATCCTCTTTCTCAGCCAGTGGGAAGGCAATTTGGTACAACTTCTGTAAAGGTGATTTGCAATATCTATCACAACCAAAAAAGGTAACTGACCTTTTCACCCAGCAACTCACTGCTGAGTTGTGAGCCACAGAATTTCTCTCACTTGTGCAACATGACATCTGAACAAGATTATTAACGGAAGCATCATTGTTTGGTAACAGCAAAAACTTGGCATCCACTCAAACGTCCATGCACAGGGTCTGTTTAGACAAATTATGAAACATTCAGACGCTGGATGACTGTGCAGCCGTAGAGAAGCATGACGCAGCTTTCCTGTCCTGATGGGGGAGGGTGGCCACGGTCGCTTGTCAGGTGAAAAAGCGACAGGCAAGACGATGCATGTAGAATGTCACCAGCTGTGCTGCGAGGGGAGCATACGTCTACTTGCACATGGATTCACCAAACGCTGGCAGCAGAGGTGCCTCTGGGGAAGGAACTGGGGAGATGGCAGGTGGAGTGGGACGGGGCCTTTTCACTACATACCCTTTTGAATTTTGAACAAGAATGTATTACCTATTATAAATGAACGAAGAATGAATGAAATGAATAAAATAACAAATGAACGAAGGGATGATTATCCCCTTAATAAAGAAGGCTTTGTGTATAGAGTAACATCCTGGTGAGGGTGAGGGCCTGTGTCAAGGCAAGTGTGCCAGTATTGGCACATGCATCAGCATGTGCATGTCCAAGTGGGCACACCGATGGGGCCATTGCTGTCCCACTGAGGCCCGGTCTGGACTTCCTCACATGTAGTCCCCACTGCTGTCTTTCTGTGCTGATCTCCTCCATCTGTGCCCTGTGCCTGTGCTATGACACCATTACTGCAAGGGCCATGAGATAGAGACCACCTGGCTGGTGCATCTCTTGTCCCTTTGCAGGCCTGGAGCAGAGGAGATGCTCTGGAAAGACTGTGGAATGAAGGAAGAAAAGCATTACCCATGGATGGATGAGGCTGATGAGCCTGCCTTGGAAGGAAGGCCCCCTGCCCCTCATCCTGTCCTGACATATCACCTGGGTTCTACTAGCAGGGAAAAGGACCCTGAGCTGGGAGTCAGGAGACCTAACTTCTGCCAGTGGCTCATCACATGACCTTTGCCAGGCCGCTGCCCTCTCCGTGCCTCAGTTTCCCCTCTGTCCCACAGGACAGTGATAATTCCTCCTTAGCAGGGTTGCTGCTGGGTTCAGTGAGGGAAGCCGAGGGGCAGTTTGTAAAGTGCTGTGCTCTCTATCTTGCTCCCTCAGTTCTCTCGGGGAGGGGAGTGTGACAGGGCAAAGATGGATGCTGTGTGGGGAAAGAACCTCCCTAGGGACACGTCCTGGCTGGCTGGGCTGGGTGCCCGTCTGCGCGGCTGGGAAAGGGGACAGCCAGGCTAGGCTAAGCTCTGGGGGTTGCTATTTTATTGATATAATTCATACACCATCAAATTCACCCTTTTAAAGTGTGCAATCACCACCATTGTCTAATTCCGGAGCATTTTCAACACCCCAAAAAGAAACCCATACCCATTAGCAGTCTCTCCTCTTTCCCTCGGCCCCTGGCAACCACTGATCTATTTTCTGTCTCCATGGACTCGCCTATTCTGGATGTGGGATACGAATGGAATCACACAATATGTGGCCTTTTGTGTCTCTTCTTTAACTTAGCAGAATGTTTTCGAGGTCCAGCTATGTTGAAGCGTGAACTGGCATTTCATTCCATTGATACAAGGGAATACTATTCCATTGTGTGGACAGACCACATTTTGTCTGTCCATTTGATACTGGCTCCACACAAGGTTGACATAAGGGAAGCCATATTGTAGGAAAAAAACCATATTGTAACTTTAAATGACCTCTGACTAACTAGCCCAGACATGCTCTGTAGATTTTGTGGCCCCTCCCAGCTGCTTTAAGATGATAACTTTGTTCTTTTGAGTTCCTTAGGAATGTGATGACCCCCGGCAGAGAGCTATGCTGACAGCCATCATCAATGACAACTGAATGATCAGGGTATAGGGCCTCGCTCTAGTCTCTGATGCACATCCAGTAAAACAAAGAACTATCAGGAACTGGGGCCAGATGTCTGCCCCACCCAGAGACCAGCCATCTCGCCCCCCTGGAGACTGGCCCTGTATATAACTGCCCTGTAGTGTTTGTTCTGGGAGATGGTTCTTTCGGACATGAGTCAGCCATCTTCCCTCCAGCTGGCAAGCTGTAATAAAGAAACCCTTTCTCGGGGCTGGCCTGGTGGCACAGCGGTTAAGTACGCACCTTCCGATTGGCGGCCTAGGGTTCGCCGGTTTGGATCCCGGGTGCGGACATGGCACCACTTGGCAAGCCATGTATGGTAGGCATCCCACATATAACGTTGAGGAAGATGGGCACGGATGTTAGCTCAGGGCCAGTCTTCCTCAGCAAAAAGAGGAGGATTGGCAGATGTTAGTTTAGGGCTGATCTTCCTCAAAAAAAAAAAAAAAAATTTGAAAAAATAATAATAAAGTTGAAAAAAACCCCCACAAAAAACCCTTTCTCTCCTACCACCGTGCCTCCTGACTATTGGCATGTATTGCAGTGAGCAGAGGACCCCCCTTGGACGGTAACACATTTATCTATTTCGATGTCCAATGTCGATGGACATTGGAGATATTTCCACCCTTTGGCCATTGCAAATAATGTGGCCATGAATAACTTGTGCACAAGTCCTTGTGAGAACATGTTTTCAGTCCTCCTGGGGACATTGCTACTTTGAATCCCAAGACCCTTGCCAGAAGACCACAGCCCTGCAGCAGGCCCTCCAGAAGAGGGCATCTGGACCTTGGGTGGGAGGGAGGACAATGAGGGGCTGTGTCTCTACCGTGTCGGCGCAGTCTCATCTCTCGACAAATGTCCTTGTGCCGTCTCACACCCTTGGGGCAACCCAAATGCCTCAAGAGCCCACTGTCCTCAGGGCTCCTTTATGGTTCGCAAAGCACCCACACCACTAGCCTCTTTAACCATGGCCTGTGGGAGCCCCCATTTGGCAGTTGAGCAAACTGAGGTGCAGAGGGGTAAGTGACCCGCCCCAGGCCACACAAAGGACCCGAATCTGAGTTCCACCGTCTCCTGCAGACCGCCAGAAAGGGTCAGGAAGCCTTTGTTCCAGACCAAGGGAGATATCCTGAGACTCAGGACTGTCTCTGGGCCCTTTTCCTTTTTCGTCCAACTTGGAAGGTCTGGGGCTCCCAAACTTCCCCTCCCAGGAGAAGGTGATTCTGGCATCAGCCCCCTGCCTCTCCCTGCCCCGGGGCCCAGGCCTGGAGAACCAGCTCATGGCCTATTTATGTACCTCACACATACATGCTCAGCAGGTTAAAAATGTGGGGCAGGGGCCGGCCCCGTGGCCAAGTGGTTAAGTTCACGTGCTCTGCTTCGGCAGCCCAGGGTTTCACTCGTTCGGATCCCGGGCACGGACATGGCACTGCTTGTCAGGCCATGCTGAGGCAGCATCCCACATGCCACAACTAGAAGGACCCACAACTAAAAATACACAACTATGTACTGGGGGGCTTTGGGGAGAAAAAGGAAAAATAAAATCTAAAAAAAAAAAATGCGGGGCAAGCAGAATCTGATTCAGCTGGTCTGGTTCTGGCTATGGGCATCTGATTTGTGACAAATTTCCCAGGGGATTCCGATATACCTCAACAGCGCCCTAAAGCATAGGAATCCCCTTCCAGGTTCAGGCAGTTGGCCGAGTGCGTGTGCGTGTGCGTGGACTGGAGTCCTTCAGTCTCTGCCATCACTGCCGATGGAAGGACAGGCTCCACGGCGGATCAGCTCCGAGCGCGGCCCCTTGCCCTCCACAGGCAGGCACACATTAGCAGATGCTCATCCACATCTGCGGATATATTCCCTCCATTCTAAGATGCACCTTTTTTTTTTTTTTACATCTTAACACTTTGTTAACAAGATGCATTTGACAGTTCTAATTGAAAGAATTTTCTTCTTAGTGGTCCATAAAATACTGGTATGTTTTAGCATCGGGCCATCTTAGCATCGAGGAAGTCCAGTGCGTCGGGCACTGAGTGCCGGAACGAGGCCCAAGGGGATGAACACTCCCGGCCCCTACTGGGTGCCGGGCCCCTGACGTATCCTGACTCACTCCATCCTCTGTTAGCCCTCGAGGGGAGAACTGCTGTCACTGCCCCCATTTTACAGGTGAGGAAACTGTGACACAAGGTTAATTAACCTGCTCTAGGTCACACAGCCATTAAGTGGCAGAGGCAGGATTTTAACACACACAGCCTGGCTTCGTGTGTGACCAGCGGGCTCTGCCACCTTGTAGGAGTCCCAGAGTGAAAGGTGGTGGGGGTTAATGGGGTGAAGGGGTGCACTTCAGGCAAAGGAACGAGCACAAGTGACAGGGCTCATGCCTGGAGACCTCGGATGCAAAGTGGGGAGGAGAGGGGCACGGGGAGGAGAGGTGTGCGGTGTGGGCCGAGGTCCAGAGCACGGGGATCTGAGGGCTGCAGGGAAAATGAGATTTTAGCTACAGTGTGATGGCAGTCGCTGCTGTGTTTTAACATTTTGCGAGGATTATTCTGGCCAGTGTGTGGAGGATGGAGCATAGCGGGTGTTGGCGGAAGCGGAGCCCAGGTAAAGAGATGGCTGTGGTCAGGACTTAGGGAGGAGGGGCAGAGAGAGGGTGAGACCTGGGAGGAGCTTGGGACAGACCCCAGGCTCTAGAGCAGTGGCTCTCAACTAGGGCTGGTTGCCCCCCTCACTCCCTGCAGGAGACATTGGTAATGTCTGCAGCCATTTTGGTTGTCACCACTGGTAGAAGGCAATGCTACTGGCATCTAGTGGATAGAGGCCAGGGATGAAGGCAGACCCACCCCCCTCAACAAAGAATCTCTCAGCCCGAAATGTCAGTGGCACTGAGATGGAGAAGCCTCTTGGAGAGCTACCTGGCTGGGAGAGCGAGTGCGGGAAGGGCTGTGGGAGTGAACAGGAAGGGATGCCCCCAGTCCCGCAGGACAGCCCTAGGGCTGAGGGGACAGCTGTGCCCAAGGCAGAGGTAGGACTCCTGGGAGGGCCAGAGGAGACAGGCCCCGGCGCCATGTGAAGGAAGACCTCCTCCCAGGCAGCGCCCTGCCATAGTTGAAGGAGCCATCGCCGGAGGAAGTGAGCGCCTCGTCCACGGCCAGCCTGGGAGTCCCCACCTCCCGCCCACCCCAGGCTCCCTGCAGGGCCCACGCTGTGAAGGTGCGTGGAAGAGTTGGAGGGTCTCCTCGGAGGCTGTGGGGAAGGGAATCTGCAGGCCACAGCCCCACCCCAGCAGCCTCCCTGCCTGGGCCAGGCAACGTCAAAGTGCGTGTCATCTTGCCCTCTGCAGGTGCTGATGCAGCAGGCCTACTGTGGGCAACAATCCTGAAACACTGTGTGCTGGGACTCTCTGCAAATCAAGTCTAGGGTCAATAGTACAGAGGGTGAGAAACCCTCCTCGAGAGCCACCTGGCTGGAGGAGGAGCAGGAAGGGCCGTGGGTAGGACAGGCCCAGAGCTACCTCAGCATCACTTTTCTGCCAGACCTGCAACTGGCAGCGTCTCCAGATGCAGAGACCAGATGCTGACCTTTAGAGGCTGTGGCTGCCCAGAAGACAGCCCCCTGGAGAACGTGCATTGGAAGAGCCCTAGTTCTGTGGAATGGCCTGAGTGGCCTCTGTTACCTTATCCCTGAAAACCCCTCCAGCCTCATCCCAGGGGTCCCCTCTGCTGTAGTCACACTGAACACCAGGCCTCTTGCTCCAAAACCACGCCCAGTGGGCTCTGGGCCTGCGCCCGTGCTGTCCCTTCCCAGGGCACCTTCCTTTCCTTGGGGAACTCGGGATTCAGCTCGCAGTGGGGGGTGAGACCACGGAGCCAGAATCCACAAAGCTGTAGCGGAGGCCAGAACCCATCTAAGGTTTCCTTTGGCTTGGTGGCTGACGTCACACACACTCCCAGGCTAAGGCCACACTTTGCCCTGGGAACTCAGACCTTCCTGGCACAGAAGAGCCCTGGCCTGGGAAGAGGAGAGGGAGGGAAGGGAATTCAGAATCGCAAAGCTCAGAGGTCTGGGGCGGGATAAGGGACTCTGCCCATGACGTGCCCACGGCTATCTTGGGGCCCAGCAAGCCCTGCTTGTGTTTGCTGACAAGATCCTGGGAGGGTGCCCTGCAGAAGAGGCTGATATGGGGGGTGGGGCAGACTGCCCCCACCTGGGCCCCTTGGGCTGGCTCAGCACTGCCCGCTCGCTCGGCCCTTCCACATCTACCACCCCTCACGAGCATGGATGTCTCTATTGGCCAACTTCCTGCCCTCTGCCCAGCCGCCACCCTTCCCCGTCCCGTCCCGTCCCGTCCCGCCCTTGCCCTTTGCCCAGGAGGCCTTGCTCACTGGGGTGCAAGGGGCTCCTGCGCCCCAGCTGTTGCTCAGCCTTTGCTAGTCCAGGCTGGGCCCTGGGATTCTCAGAAGGGAGCAAGGTGGGCAGGATTCCCAGAAGGGAGCAAGGCGGGAGTCCTGACGGCCTCTGAATGCTCATGACTTGGACGAACTATTTAACCTCTATGAACCTGTTTCCTCCGCTCCCTCCCTCTTTACCAGCTGGGGACCTAATTCCTGGAGGGACAGGAAGACGGGGAGCTCCTGGAAGCAATGGGAGAAGCCATGCGGGTGTGAAGGTCAGAGCAGCAGGGCTCCGGCTGTCAGAGTCCTCCCCAGACCTGCAGTGACACCCCAGTCCCCGCAGAGTCCCCAGTGATCGGTAAAATCATACCAGCTACTAGTTTACTGAGGACCTGCAAAATGCTTTACCTGCTGTCTCATTGTATCCACATGAGCGAATGATGCATGTGACATCATCTTCACTTTACATATGAGGAAACTGAAGCTCAGAGAGACTGCATAACTCACCCAAGGTCACACAGATGGTATGTGGGCGAACTGTGGGCCACACTCTACACCTTTCTTGTCTCTTGTTTGCAGAAGAGGACCCACTGCCCCTGCCTGGCACCTGTCTTCCCCATCCTATTCCATCTGGCCAGTAAACCATCCCTGCCCAGCCGCTTGCATCCGAAGGTTTAGTCTGTCAGAGATTCAGTAAAGCAGCTGATGGGTCGGTTCCCTCCAGTCCAGGGGTCGGCTGCTTTTGGGGTCCAGGGTTAAGTGTTCACAATGGCCATCGGGTGCCCTGAGTCTGAGTCAGAGATTCAAAGACACTCAGAATAGGAAGGATCAGTCTGCCTACTGGATACATGGGAAAACTGAGGTTCAGAATGAGGCAAGGCTTTGCCCACGGACACATAACATACCAGAGTCACGGGCAGGACAGAACCTGAGAACCAGCTCAGGCTGTCTCCTCTGACCCTTTACCCATGGTTAACATGCAAACTTTAAAGCCAGTGAAGGAACTTACTGTGTGACCTTGGTCACATCTTTGTCCCTCTCTGGGTGTCAGTCTCCTCATCTGATGGAGTGTGGGGCTAGATGGTCTCTTAGGACCTTGAGTTTATTACCTTCACACCCAAACTTGGGCTGCTGAGGGGTTTACACCACTAAGATACATATGTGTGCCAGACTATATGCCCCACATAGTCCTTCAAATCCTGTACATTCCTCATTCCTCATATTGGCCCCACATCCCCACAGATGAGAAACCATGGCCAGAGAAAAGCTGGACTCTTCCCCAGGCCACATAGCAGTGGAAGCCTTGGTCCTGCCTCCCAGCCCAGTGTTCGGCTCCCAGCACACACGGCCATGCTTCCCCACAGAGATGTGGACCCCTCTGGCCCTGGCCACACCACAGCCAGCCCCAGTACTCACCGAGATGGGGAAATAGTCCCTCATGTGTTTCCACATGACCCAGCTCTGTAAGGCCTTGCTGCACCTGCCCCCCTGCCGTGGCTTATCTCGGTCCAGGTACCACCAGATTGAGTACAGGACACTGAAGAACCAGAATCTCGTGAACAGGAGGCCTATGAAGACCACAAGGCTGATCTGGCCTGGGGAGAGAAGCAGGAGCCGTCAGTGGTCGGAGGCACAAGAGGAAGGAGGTGAGGCTGCCTGGACTGAGCTCTCTCCCTGTGCCCAGCACTGCACTGTCCTGTCCAGCCCTTGGCCCCAGAAAGAAGAGACCAGCTTTCCACGCCCCCAAGGAGGGAGTGCAGCCGGCCCAACGTCACATTGCGAGCACAGATTTGAACCTAGGTAGGCCTAACTCCAAAACATTTTTCCCCACTGCATCAGGCTGTCTTAGTCACTCCAGTCTCCCGCTCCCCCTCCTTCTCTCCAGTAAAGTAGTCTGCATTCACCAGGCACTCAATAAGTGCCTGGTGCGCAACTGATCGGATTAACTGCTTCTAGTTTCCATCTTTTGCGACCTCAGAGAAAAGGTGCCCAGCCCTCTTCCTGTCCACCCTCTGCCCCATCTTTCCAGAGAGAAATCCGGCTACATTCCTCCTCTAATTAAAGCCCTTCCATGGCTTTCCCATAACTTCAAGGCACAGCCCAACAGCTCCGCCAGGCTTTCAAGCTCCCCGTAAACTGGCCCTACCCTCTCCTGCTCCAGCCTCACCCCGCCCGCATACACAGCCCGTGCTCTGGCCACACTAAACTGCTCAGTGGTCCTACAACTCACTGAGCCCCTTCAGTATCATAGCTTTTGCTCATTTTGTTTCCTCTGCCTGCAATGCCCTTTCCTGGGGAGGGAGGGAGGGAGAAAGAGACCAATCTCTGACCGGCCTACGCGTCAGGGGTGCAACAGGGCCCTGACCAGGCCCAGTGAGGAATTTCCCTCTGACCTATGATCCTGAATCCCTTACTGCAGGCTAATCCCAGCTTCATCTCAGGGTGAGATGGTCTGTGGGTCGTCCCTAAGCTGATGGTGATAGAGTATCATTCCCATAGAATATTGCTCCCTCCCCATCCCATTCCCTCTACTCAACACCATGCACTCATACTCTTAAAGGTCAGCTTCCAGATTTGTATTTCATTTGAAAGTAGAGAGGACTGGGCCTATCATTCCTGGAAGGCTTCCTGGAGGAGGAGACTTTTGACCCAGTCTGAACAGTAGAAAAAATTCATAAGCTAGATGACGTAAGCTGGGGCTCACAGATGTTGCCTTTACACAGAGCACCTATGATGTGCCAGGTGCTGGTGGTACAGCCGTGAACAAACTCCTGCCCTCATAGAGCTGACTTTCCAGTGTCATGTTTGGGGCACTTCGTTTTTTAAATTTTTTTTGTGGTAAAATATACATAACATAAAATTGATCATCTTAACCATTTATAACTGTACAGTTCAGCGGCATTAAGTTCATTCACACTGTTGTATAAGCATCACTACCATCTATCTCCAAAGCTCTTCATCTTCCCAAACTGAACTTCCATACTCATTAAACAATAACACCCCATACCCCGCCCAACCACCCTTCTATCTTCTCTCCCTATGAATTTGACTATTTGAGGAACCTCAAAAAAGAGAAGCCATCAAGTATTTGTCTTTCTGTGACTGGCTTATTTCACTTAGCATAATGTCCTCAGGTTCATCCATGCTGTGGCAAGTGTCAGAATTTCCTTCCTTTTCATGGCTGAATAATATTCCATCGTATGTATACACCATATTGTCTTATCTTTTCATCCGTCAATGGACCCATGGACACTTGGGTTGCTTCTACCTTTGCACTTTATTTTAAAATACTATTAAATTACTTACTAATAATGAAAAATGGGCAGGCTTCACATATAAACCCTGACATCTGATGTCTCTTGAGACACTGGAAGAACGGGTAGCCCTGAGTCACTATTCTCCCCGGCAGCTCCTCCCTCCAGGCATTTGCCCCTCATTCCCAGACTCTGCCCCGCCCCAGGTCAGTCGGTCAGTGGTCAGTGGCTGCTGTAACCAAGGCTCAGTTCTCGCATCGGCCTTGCGGTTCCTGGAGCAGGCAAGAGAGGACCACTAACTGCTTGTGGCTTGGTCAACTTTGTGTTTGTCTTAAATGTTCTTTAATAAAAATTTTGAAAGAGAAAGTTGTAGAAGAGCGGGAATAAAATGCCACTATTGATATGAAAAAGAACATTTGCACATACATGGTTGTGAGTGCGCAGAGGATGGAAGGAGCCCCGCCCATCTGGGGGAAGGAGACACGATGCCAGAGGCAAGGATGGCGGGGAGATTGACTTCAGTCTCATTTATTTATTTTTTATATTAAAAAAATTTAATGTGAAAAACATAATAAAGAACCCCAGCGAAGGCTCTCTCTCCCCTCGCGCAAAATCAGAAGTCTGTGTGGGCGGCTCCTACGTGAAGAAAACCAGCTCTATAGAGAATAAAACAAATTGTTAACAGTCGCCACCTGGAGGGCAGGATGGGGAGAAGTCTTTTACTTCTAGGATACACATTTTGTTCAAATGTTTTGCAATAGCATGCATTAGTTTTGCAGTCAGGAAAAAAAACAGGTTAGGAAAAAAACACAGGGCAATTGCACTTGACCAGAAAGATGGCCCCCCAACCACACCATCCCCCTTCCACTGGGCTCCCCCTTCAACTCCTGTTAGCCTGCAAAACCCAGACTGTAGGGCACTTAGGAAGTGAGGCGCTTTCACTTAATCCACACAACTCTGAGAAGGAAAAATTTTAAACCCCACTTTATAGAGGTCCAGAGAGGATGTGGAAATTCGCTAAGGTCACACAGCATACTAGTAGGATGGGACCTGGGGCTCAATTCTATTTCGGCTACATCATGCTCCCATTTATTCATTCAACAAATATTTATCAACTCCGACTCTTCTAGGAGCTGGAGATGCAGCTGAGGACAGGACAAGCTGTTTGAATGAGCTTACCTTCGTGTGTGAGTGTGTGAGTTATGGAGGAGAGGAAAGGTGACCAACAGTAAACAAGTAACCCATCTGGGAAGTAAAGGACTCTCAGCCCTGAGTTTGGTGGCCGGTCCTAGTTGACTTCTCCAGCCACTTCTTTGCCACTCCCCAAAATGCCTCCTCTAACCGCCGGTGAACCAGTGGTTCAATAAATGTGCATCGTCTGTACTTCTCCACCAGAAGCTCAAGAAATCCTGCCCTGTGGACCCCATCTCCTAAATGTCTCTTTCATGGGGCCGCTTCTCTCCACCCATGGCCAGCCTCCCTGGAACAGGGATGGCAATCTTCTTCTTAAATACTGCAAACTTCGAGGCTCAAGAGGCAACTTGGAGGAGTTATGTAGGTACGTAACCATTTAAAATGCAACCCGTTTAAAAATCTAAGAAAGTTCTTAGCTCGCGGACTGCACAAACATGAAGACGCTCAGTAGGCTGGGTTTGGCCCAGAGCCATAATTTGGTGACCCCTGATGGAGCCTGTGGCTGCGCCGGTCCATCCCCCCACACCCCAAACACGGTAGATACCTTGACTGCAGTCACAGGGACTGTAACACACACAATGAAGCTTGTCGCTCCCCTACCTGAAGCTCTGCTGGGGCTCCCTGTGCCCTCGGGATAAGGGATAAGGGACACGTAAGACTCCCTCCTCCTGGCACCAGCGGCCCAGATCCCTTTCTCACTGCCCTCCCTCTTGTCCTCCAGGCCCAGGGCTACTTTCCCTGCTGCTCCCGACATCCCCAGGCTCCCCTGCGAGGGCCTGCAGGCCTGGGCGTGGGCACCACCCAGCAGACACACTCCTGCTCACAAAGCTCACACGAGGCAAGCTGAGCATGATGTCCCTCAGCCCTTGTGATCCCCAGACCTACCTGGCTCTGGGCCCCCAGTGCCCTTTGACCAGGAGCCAGCAGACTTGCAGCCTGCCCTGGGCATAGAACTCCCTCCCCCAGCTCTCTGCTGGCTCTGCCTCTGGCCCACGCCTCCTCCACTCCCTCCGCCTCCTTCCCTTTCCTCCTTTGGCAGTAGGAGGAGCCCAGGATGACGTCTACAACCTGGGGCATTTAAGGCACTTAGCATCGCTGTTCAACTGTGTAACGGGATAACCAGGGATACTTAAAATGTGTAACGACCTTAGGACGTTGCTCCTAAAGCTACAATCTTACTTAATGGGGAAATACTAGAGGCATTTCCACTAAGATCAGCAATAAACCAAGGAGACCCTCTACCATTCAACATTGTACTGGAGGCATTAGGCAAAACGGTTAGAGAAGAGAAATCAATAAGAAGCATAAGAATTGGGGAGAAAAAGAGTAAACCTGTCCCTTGCAGATGATACAACTGTGTACCTGGAAAGCCCTAAAAGTATTTTATATTTGTCTTCATTTTTACCATTTCTGGAATTTTCCATTTCTTAGTATAAATCCAAGTTTTGCCTGGTGCCTTCCTTCTACCTGAAGAACTTCCTTTAAAGCTGCTTATGGCACAAGTCTGCCGGTAATTACTTGGGTCCTTCTTACCCCAGAGCCTTCTTTCTCCCGCATCACGCTCGCCGTTCCGTGGTTGTAACTGGTTTCTTTTCTTCAACAGTCCACGAAATCTTCAAGCTCAGGAATCCTGTGTCCTCAGTATGAGAGATAGAGTCTAGCAGAGAGAAGATGCGGGGAAAGTTTTGATGAAAGATACAGAAGAGGGGAAAGCGGGTAGAGGGAAGGGGAGAGGGAGGAAGGTGGGGGGGCAGCCCGAGGAGAGAGCCAGCGAGCACCAGTCACCAGGAGGCGCTCCCTCTAGTGGTCGTTCTGAGAAGCTGCAGGTAAGCCGGATATCCTATGCGGGACAGAGCACACGAGGGATCAGAGCGTGGCTGAGAGGCAGAGCTGTGGGGGGACTTACTCTCAGAGACGGACGGCGAAGGATATCTTGCTGCTGGCCTTGGCTGGAGAAGATCTAAGTCTGTCCCTTTGTGGCCTTGTCAGGATGGAGAATTCTGAGCCCTCCTATGGCTGTGTCATCTGCTGCGTCCGATGCTTTGGAGCATTGTCCTATGAGGAAGGATTATGGTCTCATTTTACAGAGGTGGGAACAAACCCAGAGCAGTTAGACAGGTTTCCCCACCTCACCATGGGAACGAATATGACCTCTTCTGTTTTTGTTTGTTTTAAGATCTTTTTGAACCCGCCTAGGTCCTGGCACTCTTCTCCCTACGTCCACACTCTCTCCCTGGGTGATCTTGCTCATGACGGTTTTTTTTTTTTTTATTGAGGTCACATTGGTGTATAACATTATACAAATTTTCGGTGTACATCATTATATTTCAACTTCTGTATAGACTACATCCCGTTCACCACCAAAAATTAAGTTTCCATCTGTCACTGCACGTGTCCCCCTTTACTCCTTTCACCATCCCCCCAGCCCCTCTTCCCCTCTGCTAACCACCCATCTGTTCTCTACATCTGTGAGTTTGTTTTTTATTGTTTTTTTAAATCTTCCCCATATGAGCGAAATCATGTGGTATTTTTCATAAGAGTTTTAACAGCCATGTGTGCATGATGACCCCCAAGTTTATAATTCCAACCTGTACCTGTCCCCCGGGCTCCAGATTGCCAGCCTGACATCTGCACTGGGAAATCTCAAGGCATCTCACACTAACATGTTCGACGGTGGACTCCTGGTTCTCTTTCCCACCTGCAGTACTGTGTTCCTTAACCTCTCCTGATCTTCCCCTCCGCAGAAAATGGCACCATCATCTACCCCGAGTCAGAAACCCAGGAGACATTCTAGATTCCTCCCTTACCTATCCCTTTGCCTTCAACTCATCAGCAACTCCGGTCACTTCTAGTTCCAAAGCACATCTTGAACGTCCCCATTTCTTCCCGTCTCCATTCTCCATCTCCAAGACACCATTCCCTGCAGGGATGACCGCAGTAGCCTCTGTACTAATGCTCCTTCTTCTGTTTTGATTTATTCACTCCACAAATAGTTGTTGAATGAGCACATACTATTTACCAGGCATTGCTCTGGACACTGGGAACACAGTGGGAGCAAGGCTCATCCTCTGGCTTCTTGCAATCTAATCTCCAAACCATATTGTTGTTGTTTTTAATTATGAAAATTCCCTGCTTAACACCTGCACAATGATTTCTAAACTCTTCACCTTGGCCCACAAGCACCCTCCCACCTCAGGGCCTTTGCTCATACTGTCCTCTCTGCCTGGAGTGTTTTTTCCCCAGCCTTTGTATTGCTGTCTCCTCCTCCTTCAGGTCTTTGTTTATATGACACTTTCTTTGAACACCCTGTTATTCCTTCTCTTTGCATCCTGGACATTTCCTCTGCAGCCCTGTCTCCATGGGTGGTATTAAAATCAATATTTGTACTTATATCTATTACATAGATGGTAAGCTTCTTTAGGGCAGGATATGTGATTATGTGATTCACCAATCCATACCCAGCACCTAGTACCTAGAAAGTGCCATTTATTATGTAGGGAAGGAAGACATATCCTCTACCCTCTGGGTCCTTCTGGCCAGGCTATGAATTAAATTGACATGAGACAGAACAACAGGAGAAAATCAAACAAAGCTTTATAACATGTATACATGGGAGAGACCCAGGAAAACCGAGTAACTCACCAGAATGGCTGAGGTCGCCACCACCTTAAATACCATCTTCAGCTAAAGACAGAGGATGTTGCAGGTATGTGGAGTCAGTTACGGGAGATTACCAGAAAAAGCACAGTAAACAAGAGTAAGGTTATCATGCAGGTTTAAGTCCTTTCCTTCCACATTAAAAAGAGTTTCTAGAGATAAGGTCATCCCCCTCCTCCTGGTAGAGAGGGAGACACTTTTACAGATGGACATCTCCCTTACAAATGCAAACGTCTCTTACAAAGGGGAACAACTACTTGGTTTTCAGAGCTTCTCCCATGTCTGCAATTTCTTAAAAGTAACCAGCCCAAAATAATCCTCATGTGAGAGTGACACATCTTGAGGTGGCAAACTCTGCTCCCCTACAAGCACGTTTAGCTCTCTTCAACCCCACTGTTCCCAACCTCATTTGTCTGATTATTTGAACAAAACTTAATGAGAAACTAGGCAATCTCTGAGCTCAGGGGCAGTGCCAGTCTCTTGGAGTAGGGACTGAAAGCCTGGGCCTTGGACCAGACAGGCTCCCAGGATCTGAGTGTGGCTCTCCTTACCCTGGAGATGACGAATATGCTGGGCACCTATGGCAGGCTGAACAGTAGCCCCCAAAGATGACCACATCCTAAACCCCAGAGCCTGTGAATGCCACTGTCAGCGACTAGTTGCCCCTGGGAAGTCAGGGATGGGTTTGGAAGCCTTTAAATGTTGTTCCAAATTGTTCTTTTTCCTTTTGTTGTGTTAAGGAGATGCAATCACCAACCACCATGAACCAGACCAAGCCTCACCACAGAGCTACGCCTATGACCCTTGCCTCATTTTTAATGCTAAGATCTCTCCAGGAGGAGCTTGGGTCTTATTATCATAACTTCAGTGTACGTGGAAGCATGTTTTCCAACTGAGCCTGCACAAGCGAATGCCCACATCTGCCTTGGGAATATTCATCCCCATCAGAAATAAATGTCCCTGCTTCCCTTTGTTCGGGGACACGAGGACTCTGGAAACTATTCCTCATGGTCTCCCAATTGCTGCAAATATAGTTTACTTTGTGGGACAACTACTTGTGGGGGGGAGGCTGATGTAACTCGCCAGGAGGGACCCCACTTTGATTTTGGTAACACTACCTCCTATGGCAAAAGGGACTTTGCAGATATGATTAGATTAAGGAGTTTGAGATTATTTTGGATTAGTTTGTATTATCCAGATGGACCCAAAATAATCACGATAGTCCTCATAAGAGGGACGCAGGGGGTCCCAGTCACAAGAGAAGGGGGAGTGATGATGGAAGCAGAGATTGGAGTGATGAACTCTGAAAGTGAGGAAGGGGCCACAAGCCAAAGATCACGGACAGCCACCAGAAGCTGAAAAAGCAAGATCGCAGATTCTCCCCTCAGAACTGGAAGGAACCGGCCTTGCCAATACCCTGACTTTAGCCTGGTGAATCTGATTTCATACTCATGACCTCTGGAACTGTGAGAGAATAAATGTGCCATTTGCTACAGCAGCAGCAGGAAACTCATGCAATGCCTTGTAGGGCTTTAGTAAGTCTTGGTTCTGCACTTTTTCTTTTTTCTTACTCTCCATGGCAGAAACCTTAGCCAATAATCTGTGTTCTGTGAGCTGGCCTGCTCCTCTCTCTCTGCCCAGACCAACTCTCTCCCACATATACCCCACCCAACCTTCCAGACCCAGTTCAAATACCCTCTCCTCCATGAGGCTTGTGATGACCCCACCACACCCCACCAAGTAAAACTGGAGACCCACAGCACTCAAAATGGGAGCCCCTTTCCACCTCACAGCACGGTGGCCCTCATTCATGTCTTGCTCTCCACCAGACTGAGCATCAGTAGAGGTTTTGTGGATGGAACGATGAATGGTGTATAAGATGAGAGCCCGGTGGAAGAGGGCTCTACCCTCTGGTCCTCCAGTGAAGTGAAATGTGCTGTCTCTGACCTGGGTGGGTTCCCTCATCTAGGCCTGCCCCTTGGGCCCACCTGATGAAGCCAGTCCGTCACTCTGCATCCTGTACAGTTTCCCTTGGGCATTCCACGAGCCTTTCAAGCCTACCACGTCCCAGGCTGACATCAGCATGTACCACACCTGTGCCCCTCCTGCATTCTCTGGCTGCCGTGGGCACCAGCTCCCAGTCCCTCCTCCCAGCCAGGACTCTGGAGTCATCTAGGACTCTTCCTTCTCCTTCAATCTCCACATTCAGTTATTTAGAAAGTCTGGCCATTTCTTAGGCACGTCTCTCAAAACCACCTTCTTTCGTCTGTCTTCACTGCCTCTACTGCAGGCCGGACTGCCACTGCCTCTTCACTGGACTCCACTACTGCCTCCTCCCTCGTCTTTCT